TGATTTGCACGTTTCCTTGATGATAAGACCTTCAAAATTTGTTGTAATGCTACTGGCACACATTCTTATCATTAGAGGTGGGGATCACCATACATCCCACGATACGATATTATCACAATACTTAACGCACGATACGATATTGTTGCAATTTTTTTTAAATATTTTGCGATATTCAGATTCTGTACATAAAGGTAAACTTTATCAATATTCATTTTATCTAATATCAAAGCCCCGCACTCAGTCTTTCTCTCATTTCAGTCAGTTTTATTGTTGACAAATTGAACGGTTTGTATTACAGTCTAGTCCAACTTAACTGAATGCAACCATCTGGTACAATTATAGCTATTCTGAACTATGCAATTTATGAAAACTATGCAGCCCCTTCAGCAACAGCAGAATTTGAAAGTAAATTAAAACAAAATATAATTTTACATTACATAAAAAAGTTTTAAACTTAAAATAAAACATGTCTTAAATTAAAATAAGTAAACTGTCATGTTTATTGCTGCCAAAAAACAAGTTAAACACATTTGGACAGTGAGGGAATGTCAGGATTCTTGCTCAGAAAAAGGAGCTGATCAACATGCTCTGACTTCCAGTCCACAAAAACTTTTTTTGTAACAAAATATCGATTTCTGCTGTCCCTGTATCGATACATTATTAGCAAACAAAATATCACGATACTACACAGTATCGATTTTTTCCCCCACCCCTACTTATCATGCCGACATGTCTACAGTTTTGCTGCTAAGTTTGGATGACCAGGCACCTGTTCACATTAGCCATCAAAACCCAACAAAGTCAATTCATCCTTCTTTAAGTTAGGAAAAAAACAAAAGAAATTTTACTTTATATCAAATACGGGAAATAAGATACTTTTGTAATTTTGATACAACTACCACACACAAGCTTTAAGTGAGAAAATTTACATGGGCTTCTTGTGGATGGACGGACAGCTCAGAAGAGAAAACATACATTACTGTGAAGATAGCTTTGGACAGACATTTTGGAAACAGTAGCTAAACTGAAGCATTTTAGTATACATACAATTACTTCCAAAGTTCCTTATAGCAGCCACTGGTTTAAAATAATTTCAGTGAGCTTCAAATACCAAAGACAGCTCTAGTAGCTGTAGAATATTGTAGTAAAGTGAGATCTGAGTTGTGGTCAAAGCCAGCAGGTCAGTTTTCAGTCATAAAATATTTATTGCTCAGTGTTTACATTGCAGAATATGGTGTGTCAACCTATCCACAAATTTTCTTTGCTTTTGCAGACTAATGCATGACCAGCTTGACCACGGGCCTCTGCTTACCTGTTGAAGACATTCTCGCTGAAAGCATATTTCTCTAGCCTCCCGAGAGGAGTAAGGTTATCTTGTCCTGCATCCAGGAAGGCTGTGATGCGGATACCGTCGCACTCTGTACCATAGTCATCAAATCCAACTGTGGGAACAAAATAAAGATGATTTTAGATATACATACTGGATGACTATTCAAACGACTTCAAATACTGAGGGCCTAAATGATGGCCAACGGGTAAAACAGTAGTGAGAGTGCCAGGCTAAAGGTACTGAGTCAACTAGCTTTAAATATATAGATCTTTTTTAAAGTATTTCCATCTAGGACCCTGCTGAACAAAGCTCCTGTTATATGGAATTAAATAATTCTACAATAGTACGCTATTTTTAGTGCAGTGTTATTGGCATACTTACAATCATCCAGATCATCATGGCCATCTTCAAAGTATAAAGATAGACCTGCAATAACAAGGCAGTTAGTGAGGTAGGGATCCATGGCGGAGGAACCATCTCTTATTGACACCCTGGTCTGAATGGCACATTTAGAGTAAGTCAATTACTAAGAGGGGGCAAAGTCTCCTAGCAATAAATCACAGTAGTCTCCCTAATGTCATCACTTGGTGAAAGCGAAACTTGATGCATTCAAGTGATATTGTCACTGCTATGGCCTGGAGGAGAAGCAAATCCAATCAATGCTTATCACAGTGATTAGTGAAGGGAGCTGAGATCAGACTCCAGTTAAAAACAGGTAACAAACTGTGCAATTCATCAGAATAGCATCCATTCATCAGTGTTGGCAAAAAACAATGACCACAAACTGGCAATTGGGGCTTTCACACATTTTAATCTTGTGCAAGCCTTTAAAAAACAACAACAACAACAAAAAAAACAACAACAACAACTTTATTCTACACCATGGTCAAGCAGATACAGAGGTGATAATAAAAAAAGCTGGTTTAACAGTGAAAACCTGTCTAGGCCTACTTTGATCTCCTAACACATTAAATTGAACAGAATCAATTAAAGAAACAAACTGATTGATATCCACCCCCAATTTTCTTGATCAAGAATAATTTATAATTTCTTTTTTTGCTTCATTGCACAGTTTTCTTTAGTTAATAAGCTGCAATGGTCAAGTGCACATCCATAAAAGCACAGATGAACAATGCAGGTTATTATCATGATGTGAGATCATTCAATTGTCAGTTTGGTGCTATTTAAACTGCACTCTATTAAATGCTAATGCATTTATTTTTCTGACAATCCTCCCTGATGAAAATGGATTTAACAATCATCTATTACAATGCATATAGCATAACATGAAGGCCTTCATCCTCCAAACTGCACAGACAGTTTAATCGTCTTAAACTGAACATTAAATCCTTAATTATGACAAAATGTGTAAGGTTGTATCGGACTGCATTCTTTTTAGCTTGGTGTACCTAATACAATAAATCCAACCCTCATTGTGCATTCAATTGCAGCCAACCACAGCACTTAACACACTTTTTGTTTTTCTTTCATCTTGCAAAAAGACATAACACGGTCATGATTAATGATTGCAGAATTACTTGATAGGAAATTCAATTTCCAGGTTAAACGTTACCCTATCACTCCATTCAAGCTGATATTTTAGTTATTTGTTTTTATTTTTTTCCACTGGCTCAATATCAGAGATTTCAAGCAACTCATATTGAATAATGCCAAACA